GCTACTACTGTGGTTGAAACCCCGGTCATCAACATTCCCCCATCTCCTTCTCCATCCTCCAACTCCGGTGCTACCTTGGGCGGTGATGATGAAGAGTACGATTCTCTTTATTATAGCCCATACTGGATTCCCACAGACACTGATGCCGATACCCCTGTTACTAGTCAGCAGATTCAAGAAATTCACGACAAACTCGATAGTCTGCTGGCTGATAATAAAGCCTACGGGGGTGTCGTGCTGAAAGCCTTCATTGAGTCTGCGATCAAGACGTACACTGACGCTCTGGATCGTTCAACTGATTCCATCGACAACTCAGCTGCTTCATGCTCCAAAGCCACAAAGGAAGTTTCTAAGGTTGTTCACACAACTCAGATCTTTCTTGATTCTCTAAAAGCACATGCTGATTCTAGTGCGGCCAAGTTTCAGACATCCGTCGACTCTTTCTCGGCTACCCTTCAGGGTGAAACCTCCAAGTTTGAGGCTCTACGTGCTGACCTCAAAACTGAATCCACCTCCTTTCTCAAATCTTTGGATTCACGTTTTGCTTCTCTAGCAGCAGAGAGCACCCTAAAGGAAGATCTTGTCAAGCATCAGGCAACTATCGACCTACAAAAGATACAACTGGCCCAGGCACAACAAGAAATTTCTTTGCTAAAGACTCAGCGGGTAGTTCTTCAAGGTTGCGCTGGTGATGTCAAGAATATGTTAACAAATGTTCTTGACACTCATGATCCCTTCCTTACCCTTACTATCAGACAGCATCTCCAGGCTAAACTCCTTCCTGTAATTAACATCTTGAGCGAAATGAAGGGTGTCTCGGAGAAGCTTGTTCTTCCGCGACAAGGGGGAGAGGAAGGTGTGTCAAAGACAGAACCGAAGATTAATGTAGCTTCAGGTTCTGGGAAACAGTTCCTTGTTGAGAGCGAGTCAGATTCAGATGAAACTATCACTGAAGCTCTTCAACGAAAGAAAATGGACAAAGAGCTAGATGAAACTCTTAAAATAGCTCGAGAGGCCGAGGCCAGGGAAAGAAAGATCAAGGAGGATGAGGATGCTATACAAGCCAAGAAGACTCTATTCCCAGAATGGGACAGAGACACACTCATCAATCAAGCGATTGAGTTTCCCTCCATATATTGGTTGGAACCGATTGCATCCTTCGAGTGTGAAAATACCAAAGACTCGCAGTTTGACATGCCAATCACGCGAAAAGCTTTTACATTTCATTGCTTTAATTTCACTGCCGATGTCCCTCATCCAAACTTGAAGGTTGACAGAGAGTTAATAGATTTCTATCTGAAGTATGGTCAACCACAGTACTTGACATGGAGTGCTCAGAAGATAATTAAAGTCAAGGTACTGAAACCGACACAGGCTGGGAAATTTGTGAACGTTAATTTCAAAATCAACAGAGGAACGGCCAACACAGAACATCTCATTCTCTGGCAGATGTTCCCAGTCTGAATCCGCATGATTGGATTCTGCTATACAACATTCTTCTCTCCAATCATAGAGAGTATGAACCGATTCTTAAACATCTCAAAAGAATGTTGGCTTCCTACATCCATGAGCTCGCCACTATGGATCAGGAAATAGCAAAGATTATGAACAAGAAACCGACCGTCAAGCCTACTTCCAAGACAGGAGACGTTCATAAAATGAAGGTAGGGCAAATTGATTCTTCCAATCTGACGGTCATGTTCACAAGAGGCGACAAGCATAAGTTTCTGTTTGCTTTGGTAGACAAACATCTGTTTTCAACAGATTGTCTGGAGCATATTATAAATATCATTCACCGATGCAAGCAGAACTCAACAGCAGACAAGAAGAACTTCACTGATATGCTTCGTTGGTATATCACCTTCAGGCATCACATTCTGGCTATAATACCGAGGATTTTTGAGATGGTAAAGAAGCCTTCTGCTGTTAAAAGAGAATGAAGATTCTGTGCCAAAGACGCAAAGGGGGAGATTGTTGAAGATAATAGAGTTGCGTCTTGGGCCCTTTTGTTTTACAACCAGATTGGGCTTGTCAATCCGTGTTCAGCTAGATTAGCCTTCTTTTTCTTAGAAAAACTATTAGGGTTTCATTATAAATATATGCATGCATGTATGCGTATAGTAACGGTGGTGACTCTCATTGAATATTGTAAACCCTAAAATCCTCTACAGTTGATGTTCTTTATCGAGCTCTTCTGAGGATTGTTTATTGAATCATTCGACACCTTTTGATTCATTAGCTTGTTCTTTATTGTTTATTTAGTCATTTATCTACTTGTTTCATAGATCTAATCGATCTTTAAGTTTGTTTTAAACTCATCAATATATATAGTTCCACAAGTCAGACTAATCTTCAAACCTCTATTTTCTGTGATATTCAAGAAAAGTTTTTAGAAAACTAAGTTTAGTTCGACGGAAAAAAAACAAAATAGATGATTATTGATAGTTCTTATATACTGATATTTAAGTAACACTTCTGTTTCTTTGTTTCAGTTGAAGTAATTTTCATTTTAATATATATATATATATATATATATATATATATATATATATATATATATATATATATATATGGTTAGGTTCATGTGAGACGACCTAATTTTGTGAGACCGTGAGATGCATTTTTTTTGTTATTTTTATTTTTTTTATTTTTTTTAGTTAATTTAAAAAAAGAATTTTTGGATTTTTCCATTTATTTTGCATTTTAAAATTATTTTTCAAAATATGTTAGTGTAATATTCTATTTAGAATATTTCACGTATTTTTCAAAAAAAATGGAATTTATTTTTATTTTTTTTAGTTAATTCAAGTTCCGAAAATAATATTTAAAAAAAAGAATTTTTTTATTTTTTCTTTTATTCTGCATTTTAAAATTATTTTTTACAATATGTCAGTGTAATATTCTATTAGAATATTTTACTTATTTAAAAAAAAAAAAAAAAAACGAAATTTTATTTTATTTTATTTTATTTTATTTTATTTTTATTTTTTTTAGTTAATTCAAGTTCCGAAAATAATATTTAAAAAATGAATTTTTGGATTTTTCCATTTATTTTGCATTTTAAAATTATTTTTAGATTTGGTCTCACGGTCTCACAAAATTAAAATGGTTTCAAATGAACCTGAACCTATATATATATATATATATATATATATAATATATATATATATATATATATATATATATATATATAGATATATATATATTGAAAGGATCTTAAATCAATCGATTTATCAAACAATGACTAATAATAAGAACAGAACAACGAAATATCACAAAGAACTTTCACTAAGAATGATAATCTCACAAAGAGATTATTGTTTGCACAAAGCGTCTATTAGGGTCTGTGAAAGACAACCCCTTCACAAACCCGTACAAAAAATTATATAGAACTATTATAGACAATCCCTACAAATCAGGGATGTTCCAGCTAACTAATATATGATAACTATGGAAACAAGATAAATACTAAATCTGTTACATATAAGACAATATATATATACTGAAAAACTTTTATGCTGATACTGATGCTGATGCTGACGCTGAAATATATGCTGATGCTGAGTGATCATTTTCAAGCATCATCATATTATAAGGTTCGACCTTACAATCTCCCCCAATATGATGATGTTCAAAACAACAGCTATATGAGAACAGCTTTAGACAAAAATTCTTCATACTCAGCTTCAGCTTCTATTTTCACATGCCAGTAAGGACTATCCAGCAGCTCCTGTCTTCTATTCAGCAGCTCCATAGCAATCAGTATGTGAAACTCTCCAGATAGATCTTGATGACTCATGCACATTTGTCTTAAGCCAACAAGATGTGCTGTTGGAGCTCTTGGAATTTATGTGGTGCGCTGAAAGCACATTCTTCTGTTTTTATCGAGATAAAACATTCCATGTTCAGGAACAGAGATGAACTTATGTTGAACCGGCTCAACACCGATAGGAAGAGAGTTGTTTATTCCTTTAGCACCAAAATTTAGAACCAGCTTTCTTCACCATCAACTTGAAATCTGGTCCTTCGGATTCTAGGAACTGAGGAACTTTAGCCTTGCTGCTGAGAGTGTTGTATAGGAACAAGATCCAACCGCTGAACTTTCTTGATCAGTAGATGGAGAGCACATGTCAGTTCTGAAGAGAGAGATGAAGTTTGCTTGGATGCTAATTCGAGCAATTCCATCCATTCAGAATATCCGTATCTGATCAGCTCATCCCTCTTGACAACTTCAGTGTATGGATGTTGAGGACCTTGACGAGTGATCAGCAATGTAATAATTTTCTCATTATGAGGTTTAGAAGCTTTAACTTTGATGATTTTATCACTGCTCACTCGTCGTTTAAGAACATCTTGAAACATCTTTCGATCAATCCTGTCTAGAACATTTTCAGTCCTTGACTTGCTGCTACTGGGAGGAGGCTGGGAAGATTTGGATTTGGACTAATATTCTAAGAACTTCTGCATCTGAGCTTTAAAGGATCCTTTGGCCTGAAGTTGATGCTGAATGACACTACTAGAAAAAAGACCTTTAATGACGCGCAAACAATGACACGCGGTGATTTACGATACGCAAAAGTGTGTGCCCCAGAAATAATGTCATCTCTTCTAAAATTTGAAGGATAGAGGATGTGCTTTTTGTGCGCGCCCTAAAATTAGTGTCAGAAAAGAAAAAAAAAGAAATACGGAGGATGCCTTTCATAATATGTGCGTCATGTAAGTGTGTCGCTTTATATTTTTTTAATGAAACACGCGTTTCAAGCGGGAAATGAAATCTCAAAAATTAAAACCCCGCCTCCTATTCCAATTACCAAGAAAGAAGCCTAGGGTCTTCGTCTCCCCCCCCCTCTCTCTCTCTCTCTCTCTCTCTCGCTTTCTCTCTTTCTCTCTTTCTCTAACCTAAAACCCAATCTGCAATTTCGTAGAGATCTTCCATGGCTGCAACAAATGTTGTCTCATCTCATTGATCTTCGCAGAGATTCTGGCTTGAGGGAAAGAATATGGCAGCGACGGTGGCTCCAAAGAAAATAGACGCCACACCGGTGACTTTAGGGATGGAAGCTAACAATGATGAGTGGGTCAACCCTCATTAAATCAATCCACACATTCTACTTTTCTCCTACCTTTCTCTCCACCCTTCTCTTTCACCATAATCATCTTCTTATTCATTCGGAAAATATTTAACATGAAAATCAAATCGTTGTTTCATATTTCATTCATTCATATAAAGCCCCGATATTTCAATTCGATTTTGAACCCTACCTAACTCATCATCCTGAAAAAACCCTAGCACATCATCCCTAAAACGCCCAATAGTAAAAAACCCAGATTTAAATCCCTAATTGATTCAGACGATGAGAACTTGGATGAAGTCGCACCTTCTTCACCCTCCGGTTCGATTTCATGGCATTGTTGATTCAAAGTTTTAGGTAATATTTCTTGATATTGTTATACTCTTATCTCTTCAACTATCTTCAATCGTTCGCTTCAATGTCTCCAGTCGATTTCATTATCTTCAATCGATCTAAGTGAAAGATGCCTATATTTTCGGAGTTGATTTGTTAGGGTTCGTTCACATCCCTATGGAGGAGACCGCGATCTACTCTTCATTCCACGATCCCCAGTTTTACTCTTTATGCATCTCAGGTATTCTTTGTTCCTTCTCCCTTATTCTCATTCTTGTTTGATTTCTTAGGTGCGAGATCGTCCCCCCGTACTTTTCTGCTTCTCAATCCCATTCTGATAATTTGTTAACAGTTGCACACACTCCATGCATCTTAGGTTTCGTTGTTCCAGCAATGAACCAAGATTTATCAACATTTTCACCTTCGACAGCAAGGAGGATTCACTAAATCTTGTTATGGTTCATCGATATGCAGCTGCTTAGGGCTTCTTCTTCAGAAATTTTGAAGCTTTCGGCAATTTGAGCTCTAATGATGGTTCACAAAATGATCAAGTTGGTATGAATTCTGAAGTTGCATCTGTCATTAGGGAATTCACCGAGCCATTTAGACAAGATGATGATTATGAAGATGAAGAAGAAGAAGCAGAGGTTGATGTTTTGAGATGATGATTTCTGCCATAAAAACATGTCAATTATCTATTGGTTGCTCATTGTTTTACTCTCATTATGCAGCATATGAACACGGTTAATACCCATCTTGTGCTGCTAGTTGCAGCTGCTGATAACTCTGAAGGGTTGCCACCTACAATTAGGCGTTGTTTCAGCCATGAAACGAAAATGGGAGGTTTGACCGAAGACCAGAGAGTGGAAATGCTATCCCAGTCACTTCACCTTATCCCTAAATTGGTTCCAGATGTAAGTAAGAATAAGAATAAGAACATTTTATTGTATACATATATATATCTTAAAATCTAAAGAATGATGTATGCTCCTTGCAGACTTGTACAGAGGATGTTGTAAAAGATATGTTTGGACAGACTTTTGGTTTCATGCCAAGGGATATTAGGGCTTTAGTTGCTGATGCTAGTTCAAGTTTGATTCCTATTAATGGCAGTAGCTTTGAGAAGTTGGGTGACAACAAAGAATTCATGGTCAAAGCTTTAGAGCGGTCAAAGAAAAGGAATGCATCGGCTTTAGGGAATCCCAAGGTGTGTAAAATAAAAAATGGTTGGTGGCATTACATCTATTCTACAGGGTAATAAGTTTGATTTGTGTATGTGTGTGTAGGTCGCTAATGTTAAGTGGGAGGATGTTGGTGAGCTGGAAGATGTGAAAAAATCTATTCTTTATACAGTTCAGGTACATACTACATAGGAATGGAATCTTGAATTCCAGTTGGTTGTTGTAAGCTTTGGCATAAGTTGTGACATATTGGTAATGCATTTACAGCTCCCCTTTCTGCATAAAGATTTGTTTTCATCTGGGCTACGTAAGCCCTCTACTGTTCTTCTCTACGATCCTCCTGGTACAGGGAAAGTATGTTAGTGTTTTATCATCTTATAATCATTTATTTTTTGATTGATAGCCTCCAGGGCAGCTTTCATGAATGGGAACGCGTCAGCGGGGAGCAATCTTGACTGAGAAAGGAACTCCTTTCCAATTGCGAGAGCAATGAATGGCAGGTATGTATCTGAAATACAAGACAAATTAAGAAAGATGAAATCTGTTTTGAGTTCTGAAAATGAATTTTTGTGATAGGGAAGGTGGATGAGCTGGAAAAGACTATTTTTGTAGCTGCTAGAGACCCTTCTTTGTATGGTATAAAACAAGTGGAACTTGAAAAGCGAAGGAAGTGGACCACTACTGCTCCGATTCAGGTACAATACAAATCTTTTAATTTATTACTTTGGTAAATATAGATATGAGTCTTATTTTCTATGTGTGGTATGTAACCACTAACCAATCAGGTGGGAAATATTAAGAAAGCAGTGATTGTGGCCGGAAGCAGTTCAAACTTTGGTGGGATGCGCCAAGAATTAATGCTTCTCATCAGGTATGCTTTTGCTTTTATAATTTCTTTAGATATATCATTTTAAAGAGTGTCTTGTCTTGTTTACTAGCACCAAATGAATTGTTTTTTATACTCATATTTTATTGATAGATATACCTAAAAAAGTAGGTCCAATGGGTTGATCTAGCATACCTTTACCAGATGGTTATAACCTCTTAAATTGTTTTTTGAACCAAAAAAAATAGCATATATGATGATGTATTTTTATTATAGCATCCTACTTTCGTTCCTTTGTGTTATAATTTTTTACTTTAAAATTTTTACCACAATGTCATCCAAATGGAAAACATTTAAGTCCTAATAAGATGTTGAATGTACAATGCTAAAGATGAATAAGAAAAACAAAAAGCTCAAAGTAGATTGTGTTAATGATAATAAAAATTGAAATATATAAATATGTATTTGTGGATAATATGTAATTTTTGTATGTATGGTACAACAGATGGTCCAAGACTGGACCTCACCTAATAAATAATAATTAACAGAAGTTAGCTTACTTGTACTACTTTGACGTCCATTGAGACCAGACAAAAAAGATTGCAATCTTTTCTTTTGTCCAACCCAAAAAATGAGCCCATTATGTTTGGATAACCAGAATCATATATGTCTCTCCGCTCATCCATTATAATAATACCTAAGAAGCAGAACCAAACCTTTCTTTCTCAATCTCGGGTAGGTTTTTCCTATTTTTTAAATTGCTTACTATCATATGCTTTACTTTTTTCATTTAACATGTGCAGTGGTTAATTTGTTTGTGTTTTATATAGTTTGATGGTATGCAATCACATTCCACTTCTAATTTCTTGCTTTTCACAATGATTATATATATATATATATATATATATATATATATATATATATATATATATATATATATATATTATAGTTTACAAACTGTAGAATGTGTTCAGTAGTGAATCTCATAGGGACAAAATGGTAAATCTGCAGATGGTTCAATCAATGTCATGTAGTAATATTTGGAAATACAGCGTCTGTAAGTTTGACTAAAACCTTCTGATTTTGTTTACTTTTTAACTTTGTTTTTGGTTTCATTTAGTAACAAAGTATCAAATATCAACAATTATGTGGTAGTAATCCTTCTGAGGGGGTGTTTGTTGGGCTGCTTCTTTCAATGTCATTAACAACAGTGGTAAGTAAAATCTTACTATTATGAAAATCTTTTGTTTAAATCTACCTTATTGACCTGTAGCTGATTAAACATTAATTTAATTATGCAGGTTTGAAGTTTTTGATGGAAAAGAATAGTGTTAATGCTCTTCATAGAAAAGTATGTTGGTAGTTTAGGAAATTTGGCGAACAATTTAGTTAATTATATAAAAAAATGTTGAAATGTTACATTTGTCTATTATTGGAATGATTATTTATATGACATTAAATTTTGTGCAATAGATTGTATTTTTTGTATTGTGAGACATGAAATGCAAATTTAATTTGAAAATCAGTAAATCTATAAATAATTTTTTTTTTTTAAAAAAATTTAAAATTACGATACGCAAAAATGTGTATCGTCTTCATTTATGACATGGCCTTTCTTGACAGGGCCTTTCTTGATACGCATTGCGTGTCATTAACACACGTGTCGTAAGGTTACGACACGCGAATGTGTGTCGTCTTCCTTTATGACAGGGCCTTCCTTGATACGCATTGCGTGTCTTAAACGCGCGTCGTAATTGCGCGTCGTAAATGAGCGTCGTAAATGCGCATCGTCTGTAGATGACGCGCAAAAGCGCGTCGTCTCTCTTTATGACATGGCCTTCCTTGACGCGCATTTGCGCGTCGTCTGAGCCTTTTTTTTAGTAGTGTGAGAGATTCATCAGCTTGAGCAATATTCTTTAGAAGCTGAGCTTGATTAGCTTCATCAAGAATTTTCTTAACTTGATCAGGAGACATGTTCCATTCAGCTGCCAAGTTGGATATGCTGACAATGGAGTTAGGTTTCTTGCTAGGCAGAGAAGTATCAGTGTGTGTGAAGAAGCTAATTTAGTATCTGCTGCCTTGCACTTGCGAGATAGAGGTTGAGTATCCTCACTAGCTACATCTGAATCGTCTCCTTGGACTGGCATAATGGGATCAATGAATTTCATATCTAGCATTTGACATTCATCATCATGGTCATCATCAGGCTCACTATCTTCAGCAACTTGTTCAGTATCTGCTGGTCTATCATGCTCCTCAGCAATTGGTCTATCAGATTCGTGCACAAGCTGTGGTGGCTCAGTCCGGTTTAAGCTGTTATCCTCAGATCCGAGCTCAACATATTCAGTGTCTCCCTCTTTTGGATCATCATCATTATCAGTTTCTCCCCCTTTTTGACCATCATTATGTTGTGCGCCAGGGGAATGAGTTGGAAAAAGAACTCCCTTTAGTTGATGGACATCAGCCTCAATTCATAAAAGACGCGGACTCATGTCCCGAGTAAGTGTAAGTAGCTCATTGAGTACTTGGAACTTGTTGGGAGAAAGGTTGCTCCCCCGGAGAAGGATGCTCCCCCTGGGATGGTTGCTCCCCCTGAAATGGTTGCTCCCCTAGAGAAGGGTGCTCCCCCTGGGATGGTTGCTCCCCCTGAGATGGTTGCTCTGCCAGATCTGAGTGAACTCTCTCAGCGACAGAAAGAGTGATGAGAAAGTTGAGGGGAGTGATGACCACTATCCTGTGATTCAACTTCTTGATCAGCATGATCTTCTTTGTTACCATCAGCTCCTTCATCAGTATTAGCGGTTAGTGAAGGAACAGTATATGGATTTGCAATCCATTCTCTCATCCGATCAGAGATGCCGATGTTAGTTTCCAACGGATCATCCTTATACATTCGTACTGACATGCGTGGGCATTGGATGGGGTTTCCAGAGTGGGAGTAGTAAGCTTCAGCGAAAATTTTATCTAGCACAAGAGCAATCCAACGTGGAAAGGGGACATGATCAGCGCGTACATTTGCACGAAGAAGTTGAACAAGCTGATCAAAGAAGAAAGCCCCATAATCAAGTCGTTTGTTGAGAAGAAGGGAACAGACGACTTGTTGCTCATAAGTGCTCAGTTGATCACCACTGCGAGATTTGTGACCCACACATTTGCACAGAGCACCGGTGAAGAACTTCCATCCCGGAGTCATACATTGACGCAGAATGAGAGCTGATCGAGTACCAGCCTTTGAGTGATCATATCCCAGTTGATCAAAGAGACGTCGACAGCGTTCAATACGTGGAAGCTCAGAGAAGGGTACAAAGATTGGTAACCTGAGTGCAGCACTGAGGAGGTTAGCGTTAATAAAGACTGAGTGTCTTCCACGGCCAATAGTCCTGGAGATGACATTGTTTTCATCATTAATTGTTGTAGTGTAGTAAAACTCACAGACTTGTTCAGGAAAGAACGTTGATGGAACGTCACTGATTGCGTATCGGAGTCGGTAGGAGACCAAGAAATTAACAAAATCATCAAGTCCAAGACCTCGATGAACATCTGGAATATCAAGGTTGAAAACTACGTTGGTGGCTTTGATGTATATGGGAAGTGGAGGAGAGTTTGGAGTTGGGACGACTCTTCTTGAAGTGGAGGAGAAAGTGAACAGTGATGCCGCCATTGAAAAAGTTTAGGATTCTAGGGTTTCCTTTTTTTTTTTTTTTTAAGAGAGAGAGAAGATTGGAGGAAGGTAAAAAGGTTTGGGGAAGAGGTGAAAAGGTTTAAATGGGGAATGAAACGGTAAAAAGTAATGATTATCTTTAGCGAAAATAACTGCGTATCTTGCCAGACTATCAAATCAATAAAAATAGCCATTGGGTAATTAGAGTCGTTGTACCAAAGAGGAAACGACAATCAGTGACTGCGGAAGCGCTGAGATTGCTATCACAGAAAGTTACATGCTGAAAGACAGTTTGTCGTCAATTCAAGGTACAACTTGCTTTTTTAGGGTTAGCAAAGTGATTGGTGCGTGTGATAGATACTGGTTTAATTATCTAACCATCGGCACAGAGTGTCGAGTCTTTATCAGTGAGTGGTATTTCTTACTGAATCATTAGACACTAAGTGAGAAGAAGGTGAAGAGAGGATTGTTGCGTGTGATAGACACTGGTGTTTTGGTCTAACCATCGGCAAAGATTGTTAGATTCTCATCATCATGTGTTTTGTCACACCGAATCACAGAATCAGTGTAAGATTGGTAAGATTGGATAGTTACGTGTGATAGAACGTGGTTTTTTGTCTAACCATCGGCAAAGACTGTTAGATTCTCATCAGCATGTGTTTTGTCACACCGAATCACAGAATCAGTGTAAGATTGGTAAGAGTGGATAGTTGCGTGTGATAGAACTTGGTGTTTTGTCTAACCATCGGCAAAGAGTTTCAAGTTGTTATCAGTGTATGGTTTAATACAGTGAATCATTCAACTTTAGTTTAGAAGATTTGTAGAAGAGAAAGAGATAAGAGATCATACAGTGTACTCAACATGCTAAACATCATCAGCGCATCATCATCAGTACAAAAAAAATATTAGTGTATAAGACAATAACAAACATTAGTAAAACAATTTTTCAATCGAGAGTGACCATTCCAAGTTCTCCAATGATGTGAGCATCAGTTTGAGTATCCAAGGCCTTGGTGAAAATGTCAGCTAGTTGATCGGAACTCTTGACATGCTGTAAAACAACCTTGCCCTTCTCAACATTGTCTCTGATGAAGTGATGTCTGATCTCTATATGCTTTGTCTTTGAGTACTGAACCGGATTCTATGTGATCTGAATGGAACTGGTGTTGTCATAGAATATAGGAGTCTTTGTGTGTAACGCCCGCAGATCCGGGCTAGTCAATTTAGAGGCAATATGGGTTGAAAATAACTTTTCGACAAAAGATTATTTAGAATAAATAATCTTAACCAAATTGTAGAATATGTCACAAGGTTTCCGTACATATAAAGAACGCCGAAATCCGAGTTATAACGAAGAAGTTATGGCCCGTCGAAGTTTTACGGCAAAACCGGCACGGCACCGGGAAGCGTAAATAGTGAATTTACGATAGAGCGAGATTTATCCTTAGCAATCTAAACCAAAGTCGTAGAATATGTTAAACTAAGAGCGTCGATAAAAAGAACACCCAAATCTGACTTCGTATGAGGAAGTTATGATTTTTCTAAGATTCGGCTTAGCAGTGCACGACCCGAAACTCGAATTTTAGTTCGAGCGGTTTTTGGCTTACGTGACCTAAATGAGAGTTCAAGATCTCATTAATAGGAACTCAACGGTAAAAATACAGACGAAAACGGAGTCGGTATGAAGGAGTTACGAATTCTTCGCGGTCATTTAACAGTCTAAACGCCTCGTACTGTTAAATTTAAGATCGGTCGAGAATTAGCCGACGGAGTCAAAATGAAAGTTGTAGATATTATTTTTACCTACGCGTGGATATAAAGAACGTCAAAAACAGAGGTCGTATGTGAAAGTTACGGATTTTAGAAGTCGGAAGTGTGCTATGCGAAAATGGGTGATGTGGCACAATCTTGGCCATTGCTTTCTCCCCAAGTCTTGCCACTAGATGGTGACATGTGGCACCAAGTTCAGCCATTTTCACCCTATAAATACCACCTCTCCCACCCTCATTTTCTTCACACCTTTCTTTCTTCTCTTTACTCTCTCTCTAGAACCTCTCTCTAGCCCGAAATCCCCCGAAAAGCCTAGGGAACCTCCCTAGCACGAGGCGGAAGCCCCGGAGTGCTCGACGGCTCCGAGAAGAAGAGCTTTTCGGCTCGGAAACGCTGCTCCAAGCAAAGCCTGGTTTTCTATAAAACCCGTTGTAAGTGAGCTACGCCTACGCTATTTTTAATATAGTTTTTATTTAATTATATTAACGTTATTAAGAACATATAATAAATACTTGGGCTATTATTATGGGTTATATAAGTATTTTTTTAACGCTTATATAATAGTAATAATAGCTAGACTATTAATTAGTCTCGGCGAATAATAGACTAAAATCTATTGGTGATAATACTAGGTTTCGTCGAAAGAAATTATTTTAAAGTAAACGAAGCGCTGTCCGAGTACCGAGTCACCACTTCTCAGGTGAGTGCATGGTCCCTTTCATCTTACACATAGATATGAAGTATTTATTATATAATTACGTGTTGTGAGTGCATAGTCTCTTTCATCTTACACATAGATATGAAGTATTTATATAAACTACGTGCTATGTGTGCATATTATCTGAATACTTGCTGTCTATGCTGGATGAACGTTTTATACATGTTTTAAAGGATTTAAACTGTATACGTATTTTATATATACGAATATGTTGGGTATGATGATGGGTAGATAAATGATGATAGATAGAAGATGATGTGAGTATACATTCGCAGCTATAGACTTAGTGCCTATGGACAAACACCGGTAGCTATGGACTTAGTACCTGTTAGACGTTGGTAGCTATGGATTTAGTACCTGTTGAACATTGGTAGCTATGGACTTAGTACCTATTAGATAAAGACTGGTAGCTATGGATTTAGTACCCGATGAATAGACTATAGCAGCTATGGAATTAGTGCTTTATGAACGAACATTGGCAGCTATGGATTTAGTGCCAGTCCTAGAACCCTGGAAGTAAGGGACTTCGGAATAAACGAATGAAGAATAGATGACTCTTAGGATAATCCTTAAAGAGTAAAAAAAGATAACGGGGATGGGTAATTGGGTTGATTCTTTGATTGAACATAATAATTATATTATTGTGGGTTGAAAACCCTATGTACTCACCAGGTTTCCCA